TCCAGTAGCTGATGGAAGCAGAAGCAGGCACCCACTGCTGGGAGGCCTGGGCAGTGGGACCTCTAACAGTGGAGTCATTGTTTATCCCTAGAGCACAAATGGACTTTGGGAGCTCATTCCCTATGGAGGGATACTATTGAAGCCCAGAAACGGGAAGGAAGGCCTGGGCCCTCCTCCAAATGATGTGATGGACTTTGACAGTCCCTGGTGGAGGACCTCACTATCCCTGGGGAGGGGGGGTGGGTTGAGGGCTCGGTGGGAAGCATGGGAGGATGGGGGGACAAGGGAATGGGGGGAGAGGGACATGGGAGGACGGGAAGGAGAGGGAACAAGGATTGGTATATAAAACAAGATTGTTTCTAAAATTTAAAAAATTATAAATAAAAATATGCATATATATGAAATAATAACAATAATAAAAGAAATGTTTCATTCTAAGGTACTATGTCTGCAACATTTTTTGTTCCATCTTTATCCTGAGACCTAAAGGCAATGACATGAAACTGGCATTGAAAACCTTAATTTGAAGGTAAATACTGAATAGAAATGAAGACCAAACAAAACCCTCAACAGAGAGTAGGCTCCAGAGGCACACATGAAACTCAAACTTGGTAACAGCACTGAAATAAAAGTGGATCCCAAAATTCAGTCTTGTTGGTTTCTGTGCCTTCCCAAGCCTTTTGTTACAGAGCCATATGTGATCCTCCCAACACTTGTCATTGTGGCCGGTCCTTCATTCAAACTCTGGTTTCTCTAGTATAACTGACACTTCCTTTCCACATTCTAGATGATAACCTCCATACACCTGTGGCTACTCAGGCAGAGCAAGGACAGTTGCAACACCTGATCCTTGGCATTGATTTCTTAGCTATATAAGCAAAGTTGGCAGAGTTTAAAAGCTTTCTTGGATCTCGTTATTAATCTTGTGGTAGACACAACCTAGAGGGTGAAGATGTATGATTTCTTTGCCAGCATGACTCATGGGTCCCAGCCACCACTCTTCCTTCTACCAGTCTCTGTCATTCATATAGTTATACATATATTTGCAAGAGAATGGCCAATCAAGAATCAGAAAGCTGAGGAGACAATTCACTTCAGCTTCACACTGAGTTTTCCAGAAGTATCTCATTGTAGCTAATTTTCTTCCTGAGACAAAAAAAAAAAAGAGTTAATAGGTACTCCTTACCCAAAACTAACTGGGACAAAGTCTTGATGGGGATGGGGGTGGTGGACCTTTGTGTCAAAAAAAGCTAAGTTAGAAAACAATGGATAGAATGGGAATGATTTTAATTTTGCATATTATTAGCTAGCTCTGGCTATTAACCTGTTCCTTCTTAAATGTTAAGAGGGTCTCAGAGACAGACTGTAACTAACCTCTCCCATAGATGTCTTATCTTGGACAGTCTCATGTAAGCGGCAGTGAGAAGAATAGTAGAAATAAGTTCATAGCAGCAAATAGTTAAAGGGCACAAGACAAGGACTGGGAGCGGAACGTGGTGCTAGGTACCTGCCTGACATCCATACAAACCAAGCACTGTGAATTTAGTCATGGAAGCAGGGACTATCACACTGCACTAACTGACTGATGACACAAGGGTGCCAGTAAGTTCAGATAACTAACTGCTCAGTGGATTCTTTGACCTTTCTATCACCCCCCATGAGATGAATCACATCATTTCCCCAAACAAATGCAACTTTCCTGTTGCCAAACTGGGACGCCAGACCTTTCTCTCAACAGCTCTGATATCCTGAGACTTTGAACACCATCCCTCTCCTAGCACCTTTTAACCGTAGGGTCTCAGAGCCCCACCAGAACCCAAAGAGCTAGACTCAAATCTAATCCACGCCCATGAGCCTGTACACCACCATAGCCTCTAAAGATGTGCCACGGAAGTCTAAGGACCCACAGTTCTAGGTCATCAACCACTATACTCTGACTTCCTAGAGTTTCTGAAGGGGTTTTCCTCCCAACAGCTACCAAAATTATACCACCCTCGATGAGTAGTTCAGGTTCCCATTGAGCCACCAGGTTAAACCCAAGGTCAGCAAGATCCATGCTCTCCATGGGGAGGCCCTTCCAGTTGCAAAACTTCAAATGTTTCCACAGTCAAAGGATCAGACTTGTGGGCTGCTAGCTCGCTCCTTTTGGCATGGGTGGTTTTGTTCCCAAGGCAACCAGGTAAACGATGTGGATGGGAAACTTTACCCCAAGACTGGGTGAATTAGACAGCAGTCCTGAGGAGATGACAGTATGTTATGGATGGCATCTCTTCTGGTGTCAACCATCTAGAACCAGCACATTTGAAAGCCCAGAGTCAATAAGAACCAACAGCAGAGTTAGAATGCATTCATGTGTTAAGCACTTTTACATTATATAAGCCATTTAATCCAGGTAAGTGCTAATCAGATTCTATCATATCTACCGGTGAGAAAGCTGAAACACAAGACATTAAATGGCTTCACCGAACTCATTCAGTTAAAAAACTGAGATCCAAATCTTGGCAAAGTTTGTAGAAGCCAAGTTCATAAAGGATTAAGGAAAGCTAACATATTTGACTGCTGCAGTCTCTTGCTCTCCCTCCTAAATCTACGATTCAAATAAGGTACTGATACAAATGAAGAAATGTGAGAACCTGACGTGACTCGGCAGGCAAAAAACTTGCTGTACACACCTGATGACCTGAGTTTGATGCCCAGAACCCTTGTAAATGTGGATGGAGATGATTCCACAGAAATGTCCTGTGACCACACTTGCGCTGCAGTAGGTGTGCACACATGTATGTACATGCAAGCTTGAGCACACACACAGAGACAGACAGACAGACAGACAGACAGACAGACAGACAGACAGACACACACACACACACACACACACACACACACACACACACACACACACACAACTTTTTCTTGCTGGGCAGTGGTGGCACACACTTTTAATCCCAGCACTTGGGAGGCCGAGGCAGCATGATCTCTGGATTCAAGGACAGCCTGGTCCACATAGTGAGTTCCAGGACAGCCAAGGCTACACAAAGAAAAGTTTTCCCTTTTAATTAATGTATATTAAATTTAGAGTGGTGTAATACAGATTTAAACATAAACACATGGTACAAATAGCCTCTACTTAGAAGTCCTTGGTAAGATGGCTAAAGTGACAGAACTGTAACGATGACAGTTCTGAGAGGCTGGACTGAATGGCTACAGATACACAAAAAGTCATAGTGTATATGAAGAGGCCCTCTGCACTCAGAGGAAAACTGAAGGTTCTCAATGATGCTTTTAAGAGGGAAGCTGAGGAGTCATTCAAATTGCTCATATGAAATGGAATGATATGAAAGTTACGTACAATACATAGAACATTCACAAATATGAACTGTCTATATAAGATAAACACTACCTATCTACAAAAAAATGTGCATGGATACCTTACCAATCATTCTGAGGAACATTTGGAAGAAATCCAAAAAACTAGTAAAATGGGTTTTTGGATTGGTCGTAGTATGAGTACTTTTCAATAAGGGATAAAAGCTGGAAAGAGATTTAACTAGAAGTCAGCAAATGACTCTTCCCAGGGTGGAGAGACACTTGTTATGCTAGAACTGTGGCCTCCAGAATTAACGCAGCACCTTCTGATCTCTGACAGGTAAAACCAGAGCAAATGAAAATGCTCTTTTCAGTGCCAGGAAACAAGATTAAGCAAGCTGCTCTACAGCTGCTGCTTCCCAGGGCCACTTACAGAACATATACTTTCCCTGTGTAGGAGTGTTTTGCCTGCATGTATATATGTGTACCACCTATGTGCCTTGTGACCCACAGAGGTCAGAAGAGGGTTCCAAATGCTCTGGAACTGGAGATAGGGTAGTTTTGAGCCACCATGTAGGTGATGGGAACCAAACCTGGGTCTTCTGTAAGAGCAACAAGTGCTCCACCTCTCCAGCCCCTAGTATCCTGTTTTCTTTTTCTTTTTTCCTTTGGGTTTCAAGACAGGGTTTCTCTGTGTAGCTTTGGAGCCTGTCCTGGAAATTGCTCTAGAGACCAGGCTGGCATTAAACTCACAAGAGATCCGCCTGCCTCTGCCTCCCGAGTGCTGGCATTAAAGGTGTGTGCCACCACCACCCAGCATCCTGTTTTCTTTTTCATGAGCTCAGTCCTGCCTTGAACTCCCTAAGAAACCAAGGATGGTCTTGAACTCCTAATCCTCCTGCCTCAGCATCACAAGTGTTGGGATAGAGAAGCAAGTGCAACCACATCATTCCTAAAATGAAAAATTTATACTTAGAGGTATTTTAGAGACCGATGAGGAAAGTGTGTTGGGTAGCATTACTCACATCATAGCCCTCCTGCTCTATCCCCAAGATATTTCTAACTAAGAGCCATCAGTTGAGCAGTTAAAATCAACTCTCTAGTAGGATGGCTAGTCTCATCACTGATGCTTCCAAACCACCCACATTCTTGCTTCTGCTCACCTCTGTTTTACCTACACCTGATTATCCCTTCTGTCTTCCAAATCCATCCATCATACGCTTTATTAAAATCTTTCAGGAACTCTTCCCTGACAAGGTGTATAAATAATCTGGTCTTCAAAATTTATGATACTTATTTTCTACTATTTTAATTCTGGGACACACTGAGCATCAATTCCACTGTCCTTCTTTCTAACTAGCCCTTCTAACTAACTATTGCAGATTTTCACATCCCAGGCTGGGTATAAACGCTCTAAGAAATCTGTTGATAGACTTCTTTCCCTTATTGCCCTAGTACAATGGCCAATACACAGTGGGTGCTCACCCAATATTTATAGTCTTCTTACAGTACCAAGAGCTGAAGTGTTGCCACAAAGCATTGCAAACCTATTATTTCTCATCGTCCTGCACTCTGAAAGATGGCTTCCCTGTAGTCATCACACAGGAAGAGTTCTCTGTTGTGAGTAGTCTGATGATGATTAAGAGTTGAGTTCTGCCTGAACAATTCCCCGCACTTGTTACACTTACAGGGACCACTTCTACTATGTATTCTCTGGTGCTTACTAAGATCTGACCTCTGTCTAAAGGTCTTGCCACACTCATCACATTTGTAGGGTTTCTCCCCAGTGTGGACTCCCTGAGGTCTCGTTAGGACTGACCTTTGAGTAAAGGCCTTCCCATACTCAGCACATTTATAGGGTCTCTCTGGGGTATGAATTTGCTCGTGGTATATAAGATTTGACTTTTGGACAAAGGCTTTCCCACAGATATCACACAGGCTTCTCTCTGGTATGGTTTCTCTGATGCTGAGTAGGACCACTTTGAGTGAAGGGTTTCTCCTTGTGGTGCATTTCCTAATGGGTAACCAGAGATGAGTTACAAACAAAAACCTCCCACATTCATTGCACTCATAGGGTTTTGTACCAATGTGAACTCCTTGGTTCTGAGTAAGTGTGGAACAATGATTAAAACTTTTATTATACTGAAGACACTGATAAAGTGTTTCTTCTGTGGCTCTTGAGATGGTGAAAGAGTCCTGCTTTCTGGCAAAAGGCTTTGCCACATTCATTACAGTGGTATTGCTTTTCTCCTGAGTGGAGTCTCTGATGTTGGTTAAGAGCTGACCACTGGCCAAAAGCCTTACCACATTCATTATGCTTGTATGGTTTCTCTCCAATGTGAACCACCTTGTGTCGAATAAACACAGTCCTCCACTGGAAAGTTTTCCCTCATTCTTCACATTTGTAGGGCCTGTCTCCAGTGTGGACCCTTTTATGTTCCATGAGGCGTGGGTGCTGACTGAAAGTTTTTCCACAGTCATCACATCTATGCAATTTCCACCCTGGACAGATGTTCTGGTGTTTACCCTGGTCTGAATTTTCAGGCAAATGTACCCCATTTTCTTATGCAGAGGCCAGTTGTCCTCCCTGGAAGCTCCAGAAGGATCTTCTCAAGGGTCACGGCTTTCCTCACGCTATAATGCATCCATTGCTAATCTGCTGGAGGTAGTCTGTTCGGCTTCCATTCCTTCACAAAGGTCTTGCTTTAGAGTTACATTCCTGGACTCATTTCCAGGAAACTATAAAAAGGAGCCTGCATGTTAGCCACTGTCCAGGGGCAGTAAATGGTAGCTTATGAAATTAGCAACAGAAAATCATGCAAATGAATGTCAGATAAGACCTCAGAGTTTCCACTACAAACTATAAAACTACATTAGGATATAAGATGAATCAAATGTATAAAAGCACTCCAAAAATGAGTAAGGAGATAATAACTCAACAGAAAACTAGGCAAAGGGAAACTACACAGTTTTCACAAAAGGAGACATTCAACCCTTACCACAGGGAGAGGCACTACTCCATAATCAGGCAAAAATGAGCTAAACAATACAGATACAATTTTTTAAAACTTTTTATTATTGTATGTGCAAGTGTGCACATGCCATGGCACATTGTAGAGGTCAAAGGACAACTTTTAGAAGTTGGTTCTTGCCTACGATGGATTCTGGGAATAAACTCAGGTGGTCAGCTTTGTATAGCAAGTTCTTTACCTGCTGAGCCATTTTGTCAGCCCAAGGTATAACTTGTTACTCACTGGATTTACCTAGTTAGTTTGGTATTACACTGTACTCACAAAATGGGTACACAAATCGCTAGTGTGAATTTATCCAAATTGTTAGGGAAAGCAATTTCACAATATCTACTGAAATTATAACAGTACATAACTTTTGGCACACAGTACTACATATGGGAATTTATGCAATGTTATTTATTATAGCACTGTTTGTTATAACAAAACACCAAAAATATATGTCATCAGTAGCAGCTGGCTAACCTGCTTCATGATTTCTCTATACTTTTTAATACTAAGCAGCTCCTACATAAAAAAAAATGTAAGAGTCTACTATCATAGCCTAAAGGAAAAGAAAATGTTTAATATAAAAAGTCTCTAGAAGGACACATGCAAAACCAAAAATAGTGACAATTTACTTCAGAGTTGGGGAGGAGACTAGATGAATTAATGGCACAGAAACTTCATTGGATAAAACTTCTTTTAAAACCATAGGACAGTTTACCTATTAAATTGAAGATCAGAGGAAGCAGGGGTGAGGAAGGCAGCGAATCTCTGTCTATTCTCCTCCTTTACCACTTCTGCCATGTTCTCCTTACTGTTCCTTCACTCATAGGTAAATACTTTTTCTCTCAGACTCTAGGTAGCTGCAGACAGCATGGAGCAAAGACTCAGTTATGAGAAGGACTAAGGATACAGTCCAAGTGGAAGACAAAAATACTATTTAATAGATCAAAGTCTACAAATAGCAGAGGTCAGAATAAAGGGTTACAACTATCAGAAGAATGGAATTAAGTAAGCCTAAACAATCACTAATTTTCCAAGAAGAAAAGGGGGCTGTGGATGTACCTTAGAGAGATACAGGGCTTGTCTGGCATGCATGAGGCTCTGGGTTTGAAGGAAGAAAGGGAGGGAGGGAGGAAAAATAACTGAAGTGACAAGCCATGATATCTAGAAGTCTACACATGCCCATCAGATTTCTGGACAGGCCCTCTTGACTTTAATGGGGAAAATGGCGGGAAGTACAAACAAAGCCCTCGGGTCCTGTCTCAGCTCTGCTTTCCCTTCTGCTCTTTTCTCCCTTACCTTGCTCCTCTTGGGCTTCACATTCTGTGGGTTCGCATTTCAGCGTGGCTTTCACAAGTCGAAGGGACAAACTGGGTTCTAGCTCTGCTCCTAAAGGCCTCCTCTCCTGCAAAAACACTTTCTGCTCTTCAGTTTGCACTGAGGCCTGAGGGAAACGAGAAATGTACTCTAATCATAGCCAACAAGAGGATAGTGTTCATAGCGCTGGTACTTGGCCTGTGCAAACCTGAAATGACTTTTTTGATAGCAATAAGCCTGCCTCTATCACACTCATTTGTCAAGGTCATTTTAAAATGTCACCCCCTCTGGGGAAACTTCCTTTCCCTACTACCTCTAAATTTTGTTAATTTTCAGCTATTTTGCATCTTTGTCTAATGTTCAAAGGATGGAGATTGGAAAGAAATGAAAGGAAAGATGAAAAAAGGCAGAAAGGAGGAAAAAGCATTTAGGAAGAAGGGACTGGAAAAATGGTTCAGTAGATAAGAACACTTGCTGCTCTTCAGAGGACTGGAATTTGGGGTTCCCAGTATCCACATCAGGTGACTTCCAACTGTCTGTCCCTCTAGTTAATAGAAACAGCTTCCTGAAATAATTTCCACTAAGTCTACTTTCCTCCCCCACCACCACCACTGTAGAATTTACCAAATATAATAACCAGAGTGATTATTTTTAAATTTACTTTATATTCCTCTTCTGCTCAAAGCTAGGCACTGACTTTCCATCTGCCAAAATCTAAATTCTTATAATGGTTTGCAAGTTTCTACATGATATAATTTCTTTAACATCTTTTATCTTCTCAAAAAATTCACCTCTACCCTAGGCATACCAGCAACACTTAAGGCATGCAGTTGGCATTTCCTTTGCTTGAATGCTGTGGCCTGTCTATTAAATGGCACTACCCTCAATTTCTCCTCTGCTCTTTTTCTCTATTGTTTTTAGTAGATTTATCCACATCTAACACCTACATATGTGCAATCTTTTTTCCCCTATCTTTTCTCAATAGACTGGAATCCACGTAAGAACAGTACCATGTATATGACGTTCACTGCTGCATTCCAAGTGTCTTTGACGGTGTGTGAGACAAAACTGGTATTCCATAACTGCAGAATGGCCACCTACAGTCTTTAACTCTGTCAGAAGTGTCTTCTTCACAGTTCTCTTACAATCTTCAAGCCCACACAGCCCAGGACAGACTCCTCAGTAAGGATGTCTCTATTGACACAGAACCTCCCCTGTCAGAATGTAGCCTAGACTGCCTTTGATCTCCTGACCTTTTTGCCTCTTCCACCTGACTACTAAGATTAATTTTCCTTTCTTCTTTGTGTGTAAATGTGTATGTTTCAGAGGACCACCTCGGGTGTGAATTTCAAGGTGTTATCCACTTTTTTTTTTTAAACAGTGTCTCTCTCAGTGGCCTACAACTCACCAAGTAGACTAGCCTGGCTTATCAGTGAGCTCTCTGGAACAGTCAGCTTATTTTTTGAAACAGGGCCTGTCACTGGCCTGAAACACAAGTAGGATAGATTGACTGGCCAATAAGCCCTAGGGAACTGCCTTTCTCCATCTTCCCAGCACTGGAATTGAAGAAGTGTGTCACCATGCCCAGAATTTTCTATGTGGATTCCTGAGATCAAATGCCTATCTTTGTGCTTAAAAGGCACAGGCTATACTGACTGGCCCAGGATTATAGTCATGAGCCACAATGTCTGGCCCCAGAGCCTTCTGTATAGATCCTGTCATCATTTCCACTCAATTCTTATCCAAGTCACACCCTGTACTTTGTAGTCAAGATTTCATGGCCCTGTTTAAAACTTTTTGGCACTAACTACTTTTCTCTCTCCTATCTATTTTATAACTGAATGCCAGATTACGTTTCTTTTGTTTTACAGGTTCATACTCTTCATACTGAGATTTCATAAGTTTAGCTCCTCTGACATACTCGCAGTAAGATCATTTATTGCTGTCTGAAGATGGCTTCTATGCTTTAAGATGTGTAGATTCATATCTGCCCTTCTCAGTTATAACAGCCAAATTTCTTCTAAGAAATTGCCAAAGACCCTTTTTGGCCAGAAATCACCACTGGTTAAAAACCAGTCTTGTCATAGTTAAGACAAAAATTTAAAAAAGGGTATAATTCTCTCTTCTGCCTCTTTTACATAATTTTTATAGCTGGCGTAGACTGTGGAGAAACGATATAGAGCCTTTGTACCAGAAGGAAATTTAAACGGAGAGACTGATGGTCAATGTCACGAACTCTGTATCTCAACTTTTCCACACAAATTTTACTTTTCCAACGCAAACGGGCTTTCTATACCTCAAACTTGTATTGTCCACCCTGACCCTCCCATCTAATTTTCCATTCTGCTCCCACATCTCACTCATTCGGGATAGTGACTTAGATTTTTCCATCTTTTAACTGTTTAATGCAGAATCTGGGTGGTGGATATATGTTGTATGACTTTTCCTGGTGAGATGTGAGCAAGCTTCTATTCACTAGAGAGAGGGCACTGATAACAGACCAAATAAAGATCCCTTCTAGGTCTAGCTGGGCCAATCAATGAGTTCCTGGAGCTTGCTTACAGCCTAGGGGAGGGGTTTCTCACAGACACCTGGGTGACAAGTCCCACCCTAGCACTGGTGAGGAATTAAACAAATGTTTCATCATTGGAGTCCTGCTACGGGGAGAAGGGGGATTAACAGCTGGTATCCTCCTCAGGGTTTAACTAGGGATAGTAACAGCCCCATCCCAATGTACACAGCTATCACAGTAGTGGGGATGAAGCACAGGACCTTGTGCATACTAAGCAAGTCCTCTAGCACTGAGTTGCAGCCCCAGCTCTTGCTATTTTTTGAGACAGGGTCTTGCTATGGTGTACAAATTAGTCTCAAACTCTTAATCCACCTGCTCCCATCACCTTGAGTGGTAGTTGACAAGCATGTGCTCCTGCCCAGCTCAAAACCTTATTCCTTAATTATTTGTTTTATATCACATAATACCTTCACAAGAGGCTGTTTTCTACCTTATTACCACCATGTCTCTAATACTGTCTCCTGCTATCTTCTTATACCTTCTCTTTGCAGTATAAATCTTGTATTTCTGAACCAAGCAGCATATTTGCCACACAGAATTTTGTATCTTAGCACAGAAATATACAATCCCTCTGATGAAAAGGAGTAAATAAGCTAAGACCAGACAGGAGTGGTGGTGCATACCTGTAAGGAGGTGAGATGGGAAAATTACAAGGATTACAAGCTCGAGGCTTGTAACATATAAATTCAACCCCCAAATCCCACGAAACTACAGCCCCTTTTGGATCCACCTGGGTGCCAATCTGCTTTGTGAAATAATGTTACAATTCACTATGGCCTACAAATCCACAATTAATTTTAGAAAACAGAAATCACATTTTTCTTACCCGGTATCCTAGTTCATCAAGCTCTCTCTCTCTCTCTCTCTCTCTCTCTCTCTCTCTCTCTCTCTATTTCTTTCTTAAGACAGCGTTTCTGTGTGGCTTTGGCGGTTGTCCTGGAACCAGTACAGTCAGTCACTACCTCCTCTGTGTTCTCCGGGTTCTGCTCCTGCACCCAGGCCTGCAGCTCCTCAAGCAGGATGGTCAGGAACTGCTCCTGCACCAACTCCAGGATCTGTTCCTTGGTGTGGGTCTTGGGTCTCAGCCACTGATGGCAAATTTCCCGAAGTGGGCCCAAAGCCTCCCTGGGACCAGATGTTTCCTGGTAGCAACATCATCTGAAGTACTTTCGGGAGACTTCTCTGTTATAAGTGTTCTTTGGTAGACTCCAGTCTTGTCTGGAGGTGTACTTGCACTCTTCCTCCATCTTTATTTCCAAAACTCCATCCTGGTTCTTACAATCTTGGTATCACCAATAGACGCCATCATAGCTATTTAAAAGATTTACCAGTGTTTCAGATAAAAACTCCCTTGTATACTTCCTTATAGACTGGACCTAAGGGATAAGCCACCATTATTAACACAAACTATCATAAGCAAATACTGTGTATTCTAAGAATTTAAGTGTGAGGGTTGAAAGCTTGCCGTCCAGTTAATTTACTGTACTCGTTGGAAGTATATGTACTTTCACAAAAACAGACAAAAGTGAGAACGATGCCAAGTTGTTTCAGGACTTTGGTGACTACGTACGGCTTGGTAAGAAATTTAATCTCCACTTACTCCTAAAGTAAAACACAACTAACTGAAATAAAACCTTTAGAACAAGTAGATGGCGTCGGGGAAGAGCAAGTGCTGCCTATCATGTGTGAGGTTTAATACCAGTACTACAAAAATAACTGAATGAGTGGATGAGTAGACAACTAGGGTACCCACGACTTGCTGCTTTTGAAATTTTTCAGAAAAACTGATGCCCATTGATATAAAATCATATACACACAAACAGCTATGCGAATTGGACTTTGCGAGGGCTTAATCATTCAAAACGGTTAAAGGTTGGAGGCTACTCTGCCTTTCTTCTACCCAGTTCTGTGATTGTAAAGCGCTCCCAGGTCCCGGCTGGCTCTGCTCCCCAGGCATATCCATGGGCTGCCACTCCGCGGCCCGGGGGGCCTTACCCCAAGCTCGAGCCTTCTTTCTAAGAGCACAGACCAGGCGGCAGGCCGCCCGCATCCTCCCACCAGCCGGGAGCAGCAGCTCGCTCACCCGGCGCTCCTGCGCTTAGACCCCGGGGAATCCAGACCCGGAGGAACCGGAAGCCCTCGCGGAGGCTCGCGCACTCCAGGAGCCACTCTACCAAGCCTCGGCGTCCTACTCTGTGGATTTTCCTCGCGTCTGCGCAAAGTGGCTGGGGTTTTCTGTTTGAACGTCTGAGCCGATTGGGAAGTAGAGAATTCTTGTCCTTACGCACTTCCGAATTTGTATTTCGGTATCTGAGATTAGTGATGCTTCAATGAGATGTTCTGGACCCGTCCCGACTCAGCTGTGCTTGCTCAGCGTGGATGGTCTCCTCAAACCCAACCTGTGGGGTTTTGATGCCCTTTTCAATGATTCTTCTCGTGTCCTTTTTTTTTTTTTTTAATACTGGTAATATGATGATACATTTGAAAAAGTCACGACGGTCACGGTCACTGAGGAAAAATATACTAAAAGGATAACTTGGTAATTTAGGATATAAACAACACTAAAACCAGCCTTCAGTGAGTGAAAGGCCATGGCCACAAAAACAACAACAAAAAATACTCAAGACCAAGAAATGTGCCACATATACTTGAGAGAAACTTCAGAACTCTTTAAAGGGCAAAATATGAACACAAATAGGAAGAAATATGCTTTTGGGGTAGAAAAAACTCATCAAAGTAGTCAATACTACTTAAATATGATATTCCAGTAAAGCCCCTTAGGTGCTCTCCTTAATTAAGTTCAATGAGCTATTTCTTTTTACTCCTTGAGTAAAGGAGTCTTCTTTAAACTCCTTGAATTCTTGGATGAAGTTTATGATTGCTCTTTTAAGTTATGTGCCCTGGGGTTCATCTACATAATAAAGGGGTTAAACTCTCCCACTTTTCACAACTGAATTTAAGTAGCAGCTCTCTGAGAAGGGCAAAACAGGTGTCTCTTTCACAAAGGGCCATTTATCCACAATGCCCTTACATTCAAGGACGAGGGAGAGAACACTCACAAGGCCTAAGTCAGCCCCACAGTGTCTCAAGAACAAATCCTGCTGCAGGCTTCTAAGTCAGGTCCAGATTTGCCCAAGCTTGTGCAAGTGTGTCCAAGATAAGACTAAACTTCAGCCAATTAGAAATATGCTAGTGTAACTGATGCCCGCTTAATCAATTGTGTATGAGATGACCTAACTGTCTCTGCAACTCTCCTTAGCTGTGCTTGATGGGATGCTCCTCTCCAGGTCATTGCCATTCTGTACAGGTGAACAATCCCACATATGTTGGTATAATAAATACTCTTTGCTTTTACACACTGTTTGAGTCTGGAATCTTCCTTCAGCATTTCCTCAGACCCTTACAGTAACTCTCCTGGAGAACATTCCTATAAGACTGGTAGATTAGGGGGAGGAAATCTTGATTTTTTTTATCTTTATTTTTTGTGATGAGACTTGGGCATGTGTACCTTTTTGTTTTGTTTCTGATGTGGACACACCTAAGTTTTGCTCAAGAAAGCATAAACATGAGGCAGATGGAAATAATGAAAACAATCCAGGATTTGTTCAATCAAATTCACTAAAGAGATAGAAATATTGAAGAAAACTTAAGCTAAAGTGAAAGTGGAATTGAACAACTTAGTAACCCAACTAGAAAAGAGAAATCCTTATAAGTATAAAGGAATAAGTAGAGGATAGAATATCAGAACTTGAAGATATAGTAGAGGATTTAGACCACACAAGCAAAGAACAGAAAATTTTAAAAGGAAAGGAACATGTTGAAACTGGGGAACATCGTGTAAAGACTAAATCATTGAATTATAGGCAGAGATGAAGGAAAAGAACCCTGGGTCAATGTTAGAGAGATCGTCAACAAAAATCATAGAAGAAAACTTCTCCAAACTCAGAAAAGACATATCCTTTCAGATACATGAGGCACACAGAACACCAAATGGACAAGACTAGAAAAGACCCCCTCCCACACTGTGGTGTAACATAGTTAAAACACTAAGTATTCAGAACAAAGAGTATTAAAAGCTGGAAGAGGGGGGAAACACACACACACACACACACACACACACACACACACACAGGTCTCATATAAATAAAAACCCATCAGAGTAACAGCAGATTTTTCAGCAGAAATTTTGAAAGCCAGAAAATGCTGGAGCAATGTGTTCAAGTTCTAAAAGATCACACCTGCCAACCTAGACTACTGTACTCAGCTAAATTATCTGCTATAGTTGAAGGAGAAAGAAAAGCTTTCCATTATCCAAACCGCCTTAAAAATTAATATAGAGCAGACTAACCTTAAATAGAATACTGGAAGCAATGTTTCAGACTGAGGAGAAGATCAAGCACAGTCAAGAGACTGTAGAAAGAAAAGAAATGATGCTGTGATTACTGAGATACAAAGTATGACTAAGAATACAAACAATGGGACATAATGACTGCATCAACATACACCTTTCAATAATAACTTTAGTATCAATGGTTTTAACCCTCCAAACAAAAGATATTGGTGGCTGAATGGATTAAGAAACAAAGCCCATCTTTCTATGATCTATATGAAATTTATCTTTAAAGAGAGATTAAAGGATGAAAAAACTACTCCAATTAAATGGGATCAGGAAGCAAGCAGGAGTCACTATCATAATATCAGACAAAATAGATTTCAAACTAAACCCATCAGAAGAGACAAAAGAAAACCTCTACATTCTACTCAAGGGAACAATTAAACAAGAAGACATTATATATAATCCTCAATCAAACTCTGGTGCACATGTTTTTATAAAAAGCTACCACCTATTGGAATTAAAGACAGATTAACATCAGCCCATCATTAACAACCCTTGTAGAACCACAAGAGCCTACATCAGCCAAAGTATTCTTCAGAAGGAAGAATGAAGCTGAAGGCGATATTTTTCCTGGTTTCAAAATATATTGTAAAGCTACAGTAATCAAAACATCATAGCAGCATCATAAAAAACGGACATGAAACAGCATAAAGATCTGGAAAACTAAATCCCCACATTTATTATTAATTGGTCTTTGACAAGAGGTCCAGGAATACACAACATGAGCAACTCCTTGTTTAGGTCGGCTATTTCTGTGGGTTTCTCCAGCCTGGTCTTGACCTCTTTACTCATCACCCCTTCCTCTCTGCAACTGGATTCCAGAGTTGAGCTCTGTGTTTAGCTGTGAGTGTCTGTGTCTGCTTCCATCAGCTGGATGAAGGCTCCAGGATGGCATATAAGGTAGTCATCAATCTCATTATCAGAGAAGGGCTTTTAAGGTAGCTTCTTGACTATTGCTTAGAATGTTAGTTGGGGTCGACCTTGTAGAACTCTGGACATTTCCTTAGTGTCAGAATTCTCTTTAAAACTATAATGGCTCCCTCTATGATGGTATCTCTTTTCTTGCTCTCCTCCATTCCTCCCCTAACTAGATCTTCCTGCTCCCTCCTGTCTTCCTCTCCCCTTCCCTTCTCCCCTTCTCTTTCTTCTAATGCCCTCTCCCCTCCCCCCATGATCTCCATTAGCTTAGGAGATCTTGTCCCTTTCCCCTTCTCCGGGGGACCATGTCTCTCTTAGGGTCCTCTTTCTTTCCTAGCTTCTCTGGCAGTGTGGATTGTAGGCTGCTACTTTTTTGCTCTAGATCTAAAATTCATCTATGAGTGAGTACATACCATTTTTGTCTTTTGGGGACTGGGTTACCTCATTCAGGATGGTTTCTTCTAGTTTTATCCATTTCAAGATTACATTTTTTTTTCTGCTGAGTAGTACTCCATGCTGCAGGACTTTTTGAAGTGAGATAATGTTGGTAGAGGAGTGCACAGTTTCAGTGATGTAAGATGAGTAACTTTAAGAGATATAACACTGTGATGAATATATTTAAAAATACTGCATCGCATACTTTTAATAAAAGAATAGGTCTTAAGTGTTCTCACAATGATAGGTCTCTTAGGGTTTCTGTTGATGTGATGAAACATCATGACCCAAAGCAACTTGGGGAGGAAAGGATTTATTTTGCTTACACTTCCACATCACAGTTCATCATCAAAGGCAGTCAGTACAGAAACTCTAACAGGGCAAGAACCTAGAGACAAGAACAGACACAGAGATCATGGAGGGGTGCTGCTTACTGGCTTGCTTCCCTTGGCTTGCTCAGCCTGCTTTCTTATAGAATCCAGGACCTCCAGCCCAGGAGTGATATCACCCAAAATGGACAAGGGCCTTACCCCATCAGTCACTAATTTTAAAAATAC